GGCGGCGGCGGCGCGTCTCACCCTAATTCCCTCTCTGGGCGCCCAGACCCCACCCTTCACGAGCACAGCCAATCAGCCAGCGCCTTGAGAAGCTCCCGCCCTCCCGGAGGATTCCAGCTACGCGATTGGTCACTGTTGAAGGCTCAGAGGACAGGCGCCAGGGTCACGTGACGCTGAGTCGCGCTTCTTAAAGCCACAACTCACGGGAGTTTTGGGAGTAGAAGTGTGTGGTGTACGTTTTAATAACTGTGTTCTGTAGGAAAGTGTTCCCATTCCCTTGGTCTTGTCTGCTCCTGAGTTTCCGAGCACTTGCATTTATGCGACTGCAACAAAGCTTTAGATTTTGGTGTCTGGCTTAGTTTTCCTGCCCGCATAGTGGTGCTTAGCTTACCTCTCCGACATCACCGGCCACTTCCCCTTCCCAAACAGATGGAGCTCTTGTTAGGTATTCTCTGTGGGCAGAAGCGTCTTCTGACTGAGAGACGTGCAATCTCCAGACTTCAGGGCTCTGCTCATTCGTGCACCCTACCTCGTATCTTCCCCATTCCTATCCAATAAGCCAAATATAAGCCCTCACCTGCCTTGCAGACTTCCTTGACAGTTTTATATACACACATTTTCCCAAACTTAAGCAGTTCTCGATTGAGAAGCAAGTGGGCTTATCGAGTAAAGGATAGTATTTGGAGTCAAACTAACCTCGGTTCAAATTATGACCCTGCTTTTGGGCAAATAACCTAAGCACATTTCCCCTATCTACAAAATGGGGTAATAATACCCACCTAACAGGGTTACTGTAGATTAGATAATGCCTGTGAAAGCACTTGGCAGAGTTTGCTGGTTAAACTTTCCTTCACTCACACATCACGAGGCAGATAATAAATTAATTCCTTTATGTTCATCCAAAATGGGGTATTTCTCAAGGGCCATTCTTTACAGAACAGAGTTTTCTGCAATGGAGCAGGGGAGCATCCTCGCCCTTCCTCTTTCTCAGGGTAGATGCTGCTGCCTCTTGAAAATAAGGTCCTCTGAGACCAGAGCTGGGAAAGCCAGATGGATGCGACTGTGGTTGCCATGGCAACAACACCTAAGGAGACTGTGACCCCGCTGAGACTTTTCCAGTCATATTCACAACGGCATTTGGAATAGTTCCAGTACTGTGCTTGAACACTGGAGCGTTTTGTCTACCTATGCATGAAGAGAAGAACCTCTGAAGCCCTGAGTCTGAGATGAGCTCAGCAGGATCTGGGCTGCTGACAGGTCCCCTTGCTAAGGTTTCATTGCTCTGGACAGCCATTGGCAACCTCGGAGGTAAGATAATGAAGGGAGGAAGGCCCAGGGGCCTGTAGGATGCAGTGAAACTGTATCCAAGCTTCCTGGGGCTCATTTGCCCCCAATCTGAGTGGAGGCAGGGCCAAGGAAAGCAGTGGTGAGACCCACATGGCTGCAGATAGGAAAAAAGTGGCTCCCACTCACTCCCAGCCACCCAATGCCTGCCAGAAGAGCTATGGTGGCTTTGGAGACAGACTGACAGTTAAAAAAATAATAATAATCGAAGCTCCACTACTCACTAGCTATGTGACCTTAGGCATGTTAGTTCATCTCTCTGACCTGTTTTATAGACTGTAAAATGGGATAACAGAACCTATTTCATGGAGCTGTTGTGAAAATTCAGTAATGTTTGTAAAGATGTGTAATGGATTTGGCACGTTACCAGGCAGACACTCCTATTACTATTAGCCTGTGATCTCTTTAAGACCTCTTTAGTGTGCTCACTTTGGCAGCACATATACTAAAATCAGAAAGATACAGACCTCTTTAACTCCCCTAGTACCAAACCTTAAAAGATCAGAAGAGTCCTGGAGACCGTCTCCAGGCCATCCCTACTTAGTCCCTTCTCCACACAGTGCCAGCCTTCTTGGTGAGTGCCACACTCCACATCCTCACCAGCACCCATGTACTCATGTTTCATGAGCTGTTTCTCTGTCCATCAGTCTCTTCCAAACTTGGTATTATTTTCATATCTTCAGTTCAGTTTAGTGTAGTGACTGCTTAGCACATAAAGGCCTCTGTTGTTTATATACCCATACTAGGAAGGGCTGTGTTGGGAACCAACAGTTTGTGTTTTTACTACTCTCCTGTTCACCTGTCCCTGCCTGCTGTCTCCTCACCCCTCTCCCTGGCTATACTCTTATTTTTTTTTTATTTTAATTAGTTTCAAGTATACAGTATATTAGTTAGAAATTTATATCGTTTATAAAACCACCCCCCTAATCGCTCCTTCTCTCCTCTGGTTTTCCACTTAGCCAATGTATTAATGCTAACTACATTCCCTATGCGGTGCTCCCCATCCCCGTGACCATCTATCAACTACTAATTTGTACTTCTTTAACTCTTAACCCCATTCTCCCAGTCCACCAACCCCCACTTCTTCTCTGTCACCAAATTGTCCGCTATATTTGTGAGTCTGTTTTTGTTTAGTTTGTTCTTTTTTTCCCTTAGATCCCGCATATAAGTGAAATCATACGGTATTTATCTTTCTCTGTCTGACTTATTTCACTCAGCATAATAACCTCTAGGTCCATCCATGTCATTGTAAATGGTAGGATTTCATTTTTTTTTTCATAGCTGAGTAATATTCCATTGTAAATGAACCACAATTTCTTTATCTAATCATCTGTTGATGGGCATTTAGGTTGCTTCCATATCTTGGCCATTGTAAATTATGCTGCCATGAATACTGGGGTGCACAGATCTTTACAAATTATTGTTTTGATTTTCTTTGGATAAATACCCAGAAGTGTAATTGCTGGGTCAAAAGGTATAACCATTTTTAATTTTTTGAGAAACCTCCATACTGTTTTCCATAGCAGCTGTGCCCATTTGCAATCCCACCAACAATGTATGAGGGTTCCCTTTTCTCCGCATCCTTGCCAACACTTGCTGTTTTTTTTATTATACTCTTATTTTTAAGGGTGGGGGAAGGGCAAATACTAAAAACTAGATTGGTACTGAGTGGCTCTAATGATAGTATCATTTGCTGGAAGCCAAAGATTCAATATTAGTGCCTTCCTTTCAATGAGGTCAACTTCAGACCTTGGCAAAAAGGTTAGTCAGATCCCCTGGGTGGCTGAGGCTAGTTGAGGCATCAAGACAAGAAAAGAGGGGCTAGTGAGCAACTGCTCCCAGCCTTTTAAAAAAGAGCTGTCCTTACCAAAGAAAGACAAGATAACACTTCCATGAGAACCAACGACCTTTTATGGTTAAAATACACAGTCAAAATCTGGGAGTGGCTGTTAAGCTACAAGAAGAGACAGATGTCTTCTGAGACAAGGAAACTTCCTTGCCTCCTCAACAGAAGCCAGACTGAGCCTCTGGACAACATGGGAAGTATGACAGTCGCATCTCCTAGATAAGGACCAAACAAGGTAGGAGGCCCTGGAGTTCAGCTCACAAGCCCTGGGAGAATAGGAAACGCATGTCAGTTAGATCCAGAGCCTGGGGCAGCTGTAACTGTGCACTTCCCATCCCAAGAGACACATGTCCTGGATCTTCCAAGCACACGCACGACAGTTTCCTTCTTCTGTGACTCAGGTATTAAATCCCATCTCCACCACTGCCCCCACACACCCCTTCCCCAGGCCACAACCCTGGCATGCACCATCAGGCACTCACCCAAGTAATCATCCATAAGGGAGCCGATAGCAAACTGTAGGAAGGAAAGTAAAAAGGAAATGAAGTCTAAGTGAGCACAGAACTATCCTTTAAGCTCCAGCCCCAGGCCTTCTGCCCACCCGTCATCCCCTCTTCCTGGCAGAAGAGCACAGAACCCCCAAGAACTCCGGGTAGGAAGAAATTGACAACTCCCAGCTCTGCCCGGGACGAGGCACCTTCCTTGCCTCCCCAGCAGCAGCCAGACTGAGCCTCTGGACAACATGGAAAGTGAGGCAGGGAGGCGAGCAAGAGACTCACGATATCATTCTTATCCACACGAGTCCCCACAATCTTCAAGCGGATCTCATCGTCCTGCTTAATCACAATGTCCTGAGGGGAGGGAAGAGTATACTCAGACACCCCAGCCAATACTCTCCCTCAGGGTGGCTCATTCCTTCTTCCCTCTCACTGACTTCTTCCTACTCACTCACCTCATCCATTGTCTTGTAACACGGTGGGTTTGAGTTAGGATCAAACTCCATCTCCGATGGAATGGACTGAAAGGAAAGTGAGACTAGTTCGGCACTTAAAATGGATGCTCCAGTAGCTGGTCATGAACGGGTGTCTCTCCTCAGCCCCACCCAGCGTGCCCAGACTTACATGTCGAGAGATGAAGCAGGACATAGGTCCAATTTCTGTGAAGAGTCCAACCTAGAAAGAAAATGACCCCTGCTTTTTCTTTTGTCTCTCACTCTTCTAAGTTTCCCATCTTTATCTGATTTCTAATAATATTCCCCATGTTTGAAGCCACTCTGAACTGTAGCATTTGTTTTCATTTCTCTTTTTCCAAGCTTTCAAGTTAAGCAAATACAGTGTAGTAATAAAGAGCTGAGGTCTGGAACTTGTCAGTCCAGGATTTGAACACTTGTTGATCACATGATCTTGGCCACTAGACTTAACTTCTCCATGCTTAAGCTTCTATAAAAAGGAATAAAAGCACCCACTTCCCAGAGTCACTGTGAGGCTTGACACATTACCTGGCCCACAGTAACTACCCCGTCATTATGACTATTAATACTGATTTACATGCCCCTGAATGAGGCAGGGTGAAATCAGTATAACTTCTGACAAGTGAAGAAAGTGAAGCACAAAAAAGTGACTTGGCCAAAAACACAGAATTAGTGAGTGAAGCTGGGACCTATCCCATATCTTCTGAGGAACCATCCCACTGCGTCCCCTATATAAGGTCTCACCTTGTTGACCTGAGTGACAACAGCATCCACAACTTCCCCTTTAAAGGGCCGGAAAACAATGGCCTTGTACTTAACTGGATAAAGGACAAAGCCTCGGCCTGGCTGGATCACACCAGCACCAATATTGTCGATGGTAGTGACAGCAATTACAAAGCCATACCTACAAAGAGGATGAGAAAGAGAAAGGTACTGTGTGGAAGAGCCTCTTTTACACACAAGAGTCAGTGAGCCTAAGGATAGGAGGACAGCCCACAGTGGAAAGTAGATGGCCCCCAAAGAACCTAGTGACCAAGAAAGAAGACAGGACACTGATCAGAATCTATAACCCAAACGCTACTCTCATAATTTCACGATAAATGTCCAAGAAGGCTGCAAGATTGAGCCAAGAGACCTCAATCTTTGGGATGCCTCAGAATCATCTGGCAAGAACTTATTAAAATGCAGATTCCCAGGCCCGTCTCCAGAGAGTCTAAATTCTGTAGGGATGGGATGAGGCTCAGGAATCTACATGTTCAAAAAACACCTCGAGTTGTTTTGATGACAGAGACCCAAGTACTCCATAGCCCTGGCTCATCCCAGCTCATTCACATCACCATGTGAGAAACCATACCCCAGAGATGTGCCATGTCAGGTCCCTGGGTATGATGGATAGAGAAAACCAGTAGAATCACAGACGGAGAGCAGAAACAGGAACAATAATTAGACTGTGAACTCCAGGAGGGCTAGCCTCATTCTATCTCGTTCACCATTGTTCCCAGGGCCCAACACAGGACGTGGCACACACAGCAAGAGTTTTAGAAATATTTGCAGAGTAAATGAATGACCAATCTCGTCTGTGGAAAGAAAGCCTTGTGATCCAGCTTGCAGAGGGCGCCATGAGAACCCAAACCAGGAAGAGACTGACTGCCTGGGGCGCCTAAGAGTATGTGAGAGGGTTCCCCATAGTAGGTGGCAGGACCTTGGGGAACGAGGAGTTGGGGAGCGGCTGCAAGCACTGGGTGCGGTGTGCGCATGGATCAGGCGACACAGAGAGCGCAGAACTCACTTGCCGGTGCAGGTTCCTTCCACCTCAGTGAAGAGCTTCTGCTTCACCGTGTTGAGCAGGTTGGGACCGAAGTAGCGCGGATGCAGAAGGATCTCGTGCTCCAGGGAGATCTGCAGGGAAAGTGAGATGGAGACCAGGCAAGGCAGAGCAGGAAGATGGGGTAAAAGGCAGTCCCTCGTCCCGGCACCCGGCTTCGTTCCTTCTCTGGACACTACTCTCGCCGCAACCCTGTGTCCTGCTCACGTGGTAGAACATCTTTCCGGTGGAGGCTGGAGGGCAGCGGAATCCACACCTTGCCGAGCAGCGTAGCCGTCAATGCAACCGGAAATGCAAGTAACCGCCCCAAATCCGCTTCCGGGCCAGCCAAGGTGAAGGGGGCGGGACTCCGCCCCCTCCGCGGACCCGATTGGGCCTCCCTGTAGTGGGCGGGGAATCCACGAAGCACCGCCCCTCCGGCCCGCCCACCAGCGATCAAACCCGCCATTCATAAACTAATAGTGTTTGGCCCAGAATAGATGCTCAGTAAGTACTTTTAAATGAAATTAATTAGTTAATGAAAGATGACATAAATCAGATTTTACTCATATAATCGAAACAATAGCTCATAGTAGTTTGAAAACAAAAGCAGATGTGAGAGTCCAGTTGTCTTTATTAAGCCAGACATCAAAGAAATTTGGAAAAATGTAGAACAATGCCACTATTTTCACTATATATTTTTCCGTTTGGGGACATATAGTAATTTTTCATGAAAAAAATGAAAATGTTACTTACGTTAGTTTAAATTCTTAAGTAATAAATATTGTATAGCTGGGAAGACTATCTTAAAAAGGTTAGGCCTCAAGCTTAGGCCAGTGTGGCCTGCATGTCTTTAGTATAAAGATTAAAGGTAGATGAACTGACCCTATTTCTGATTAGTTCTGACTGGAGGACTTGGCTGCAGAACAAAGTGGAGATGCTTAGTGTGGTAGGTGAAGGGGTGAGTAGTGGGTGAAGGACACTAAAATTAATCCTTCGGTAACCCTGTCAACACATTGCCCTGGTCGGAGGAGAGGCAGGTATCACTGACTTCCAATTTACGACCCTTTCCTCTGTTGTCCAGGGATTCTCAAACATTTCTTCGGAAGTGGCCATGTTCTTTATTTTTCTGTCCTGAGGCATTTTAGGGCCTTGAGCCCTCTCTTTTCCTATCAACATCTGCCCTAACTAGAAGTCTCCAGACACAGAGGACACTCTAATCTCTTCATTGTCAGTTGACTACAGAGTTCAGGCTAAAGACATTATGACAGCGTTCATGCAGCTGCTAGTTCTCTGACACCACCATTACTGAGGCAGGAGCCCGAACCATCGGATCGGAGAGAATGAAGCAGTATGGCACCTGGGAATTTTTGAAGGTGTAAGGAACATTCAAGAGACAACTGCAGTTCAGAGGTGTAGCTTTTGCCTACCGTTACGGCAGAGCGAGGTCTAAAAACCCGGCCTCCTGGGTACCACACCCGCTTGTTCGTTCTTATCCCGGTCACCGTGCAGCGGACACGACCTGCAGTCCGCTGCACGGTGGAAGGCCTTGCGCCCCTCCGCGAGCACATCGCGCTCTGTTTCTAGGACAGGGTCCCCGCCCTCCTACAGCTTCAGCTAGATGGAGAAGTTCAGCCAATCCAGAGGGCTCTGAGACAAAGAAGGCGGGACGATGAGGAAAATATTTAGGACAGGAACGCCAACCAATCCGACGCCTAGTTGCCTGAGCGACGGCCGCCAGCAGCCAGTTGGAGACGCCGCTCAGAAAGGGAGGCTAGTTAGTGGATAGCGAACCAATCCGTGACAAGGGAAGGCAAACTTGAGCCAATTGCAACTGAGAAGGTGGGAAGGGGCGGAGTTCACCCAGTGGCTGCTCGGTGGTGGGTGAGGGATCAGCTTTCTCGGCTAGTTCCCACCCTAGGACTTCTAAGCCCCTGGAGTGCAAGAGAGAAAGGCTCAGGGAATTCCCGGAGTGGGGCATAGAGGTATCGCCCGGGAAGGCCTGGGAGCGAAAGAGACTTCTAGTTAGAGGAGCTGCTGGAAGAAACTGGGTGGGCATCAAGGAAGCACAGGCTGCTTAGGGGGCGGGACTTCCTGGGCGGGGCTTTTGTGAACTGGGCGGGGCATGCTGGTAAGGTTAAGCCGAGGGGGCGGAGCTAAAAGGAGACCACTGAGTGTGACCTAGGGGAAAAAATGGTAGTAATTTAAGCGAGCGTCTTCGGGTCAGGAGGGTATTGCCAGAGGGTTTGGAGTGACAAGTGGTAGCTCAGGGCTGACGTTAAGGTTTCTGGGGAGGTTACCTGCCCTAACCCACTGTCCTCTCTTCCCAGGGAGCCACTGGTGGGGACCTTTCTGGGGGCTTTCCCTTCGTGGGGTGCTATGGAGTTCCCAGAACACAGTCAGCAGCTGCTGCAGAGCCTCCGAGAGCAGCGGTCCCAGGGTTTCCTTTGTGACTGCACCGTGATGGTGGGTAGCACCCAGTTCTTGGCCCATCGGGCAGTGCTGGCCTCCTGCAGCCCATTCTTCCAGCTTTTCTACAAAGAGCGGGAACTGGACAAGAGGGATCTGGTGTGTATCCACAACGAGATTGTCACGGCCCCAGCCTTTGGGCTGCTTCTGGACTTTATGTATGCTGGCCAGCTGGTCCTGAGAGGGGATACCCCTGTGGAAGACGTTCTGGCAGCCGCCAGCTACTTGCACATGAATGATATCGTCAAGGTGTGTAAGCGGCGGCTGCAAGCCCGGGCCCTGGCGGAGGCGGATAGTACCAAGAAGGAGGAGGAGAACACCTCACAGCCCTCTAGTTTGGCATTTTTGTCTAGCACTTCTCGTGGCCCCCAGCCTTCCTTGGCATCTGCTGAGACATCAGGTCATTGGGGCAAGGGAGAATGGAAAGGCCCTACAGCTTCCTCACCTACTGTCTGCCCTCCAGATGAGCCACCAATACCCAGTGGGGCTGATACTACACAGCCTGGCGTGGAGGTTGACTCACCGCATCTACGGGCACCTCCTCCACCAGTGGCTGATGTCTCTCTTGCCAGCCCCAGTAGCTCCACAGAGACTATTCCTGCAAACTACTTCTCTTCTGGCCTCGCAACAGTTTCAGTGGAGCCACTGGCTCCCCTCGATGTGAGTTCTGAGAGTCTGAGGGTGGTGGAACCAAGGGGTGCTGGAGGACCATTGCAAGGCTTCTATCCCCCAGCATCAGCTGCAGCCCAAGTCCTAGCCCCCGTTCCATCCCAGGCTCCAACCCCAGCAGAAGCCGAGCTGGTCCAGGTGAAAGTCGAAGCTATTGTGATTTCTGATGAGGAGCCCGAAGTGTCGGAGGAGCAGCCTCAGGGGTCTGAGGGACTGTTTCCACCTGGAGGAGCGATGTACGGTGGACAGCCCCCTCAGCCAGAGGCTTTTGAAGAGCCAAGGGCAGCAGGACTGGAAGAGGTGGGGCCAAGTGACCACTTCCTGCCCCCAGATCCTCACCTACCATACCATTTGCTGCCAGGTCCCGGGCAGTACCATCGAGGACTGGTGACCTCCCCTCTGCCAGTTCCCCCTGCCCTGCATGAGCCACTTTACCTGCCCTCTGAATATGAAGCAGCCCCAGGAAGCTTTGGGGTTTTTACTGAAGATGTTCCCACTTGTAAGACATGTGGGAAGACCTTTTCATGTTCTTACACACTACGGCGACATGCCACAGTGCACACACGGGAGCGACCCTATGAGTGCCGCTACTGCCTACGCAGCTACACACAGTCAGGGGACCTGTACCGCCACATCCGCAAGGCTCACAATGAGGACCTGGCCAAACGCAGCAAACCAGATCCAGAGGCTGGCCCCCTCCTAGGCGTGCAGCCCGTCCCTGGCTCCCCTACGGCAGACAGACAGAACAGTTGTGGTGGAGGGCCCCCCAAAGATTTTGTACTTGGCCCTAAAAACTAAGATCTGGGGGGAAACGGGCTGATGCTAGGTCTCGCCATTACTGGGGCAGCACTGAAAGTTGGAAGCATGTCATTTTCCCTGCTGGGTGACAGAATGAAGAGTCTGCCTAGGCTGAATGTACCTCCCACCCTTTTCTTTACCCAGCCAGAGCATGTCAGTCAGCACCTCTGAAGGGCACTGGGACTTTTTCTGGGGTATAATTGCTTCTCACTCCACATTCTGGACCATAAAGCTAGCAGTGAAAGTATCTTGTTGAAGTGGCGTTGGCTGGTTTCTTCCACAAACCTCTGCCTCCTGACTTTCACACCTCTCCTCCAGATCTTTTAGCAATCTGACATCTGTACTTGTGGTAGGTAGGGCTGGGGGTCAGGTTGCTTATGAGTAAAGAGGCGAGACAGGCAGAGGGCAATGTAGACTTTACTTAGGAAAAGTATACAAATTAGGGAATCTTACACAATTATGGTTTATTTAGTTGAGCTCCTGTGTACTGGGCTGTATTAGGGACTTCATATAAATACTAATTTAATCAAAAAGTTTATGAGGTATGAGGTCCCCTCCTTTTTTTCCCCCACTGACAAGGAAACTTAAGACTCAAAAGTCAGTTAACTTGTTCCAGGTCATAGAGCTGGTTAAGGGGCAAGCCAGAATTTGAACCATGGCTTGTGACTTTAAACACTCCCTATGCTGATTTAGAACATTGATGAAGGTAGTTAATTTGAGGACTGTGAGTTGTTTTCTTTTTCATCCTTTTGAGTGTTTGGCTTTGCTCCTTTACCCCTTTGCCTCTGCTTTTCATGTAGTAGAAAGACCTCTGGTTGGCTGTTTCAATAACAGATACTTTATTGATGACTTGAAATGTTTGCCTACATGTCATAAATGCGAATCAAGGTCTAAAAATGAGAAACTGAAAGGCAGCACTAAGCTCTATGGTGGTGGATTTGTGGGGGTAGGTCGAGGGCCTGTGGTATGGAAATGATGGGTGCTTGGGAAAAGTAAAAAGCAAGAGACTCAGATGAGTCCAACTCCTCTACTTCAAGTGTGCTGACAGCCTAGAGAGGTCAAATTACTCATCCGCGTCACACAAGTGTTTATTGACAGTGTAGAGACGGCAGAGAAATGAGAGTTTGGGGTGTTGCTGTAGGATGGAGGGAGAAGAGTTCTAGGAATGTAAGAGAAGGGTCTGCCCCAGTCTGTGGTGAACAGTGCTGCTGTAGGGTGGGCTACAGGGCTCCCTGCAAACCCTTCTCTCTGGTGGAACCGAGTGCAAAACAGCAGGAAGGAGAATTTAGAAAAAGGTGAAAATGTGAGTAAATTTTCTGAATTTCTTTACTTCTTTTTTAAGATTCGTCTGTCATAATCAGCACTGTACACTCATAGTAAAGCTTTTTTTGAGGTATAGGAAGGAGACAGAATTGAACCTTGACGATTTGGCCAAAGAAAACTCCCTGTCTGGGGCATTATGGGAAGCAAATGTTGAGCCTTGTCATGTTCATGGCCGAAAGAGTGAATTCTACACCTTTCACTTTTCTCGTGTTGGAATAACCTTTTAATTTATCTTTCATATGGCTAATTGCATTTATGCAAATACTGCCTTAACTCCTTGGTGAAACAAGGTAAGATATACATACAATTAGAGCTATTCTAGCTGAGTGGAGCACCTTTTCCAAAGTCTTTCCTAGAGTAAATCAAAATGCCTGAAAAGAATCAGTTGCCTTTAAAAGGGTAAATTTTATGGTATGTGAAATATATGTACATGTGCGTATATACGTACATACATGTATGTTATATATGTGCACGTACATATGTACACACACAGGGGGAAAAATTAATTGGTTGCCTTATTAGAACATCAGTTCCTAAAAACAAGGCATAATAAGTATCTGAGTCTACATGTATATAATTTCTCTAGACAGTCTGGAGAACACACTAAGCAGTTACTATCTCAGCCACCCTTAATACCTAAGGAGGATCTGTTACTTGGTGAAATTCTGCTGAAGAGCAAGCATTTGCTTTCAGTTCCCAGCATGAGATATATTCCTTTATTATTATTATAGTTGGCACACAATATTATTTTTAGATGTGAGATGCATTCTACATTGGAGGTGGCAGTTAGGAATTTTCAAGATGTTTAAAGCAGCCAACACAAGTTAAGGCTACAGTTGTGTCACTTTATCTGCTGGACACTAGGACTAGATTATGCTGGTCTGTAGAAGTGTTATCAACAGAGAATTTTCTTCAGTTTCCATTGGTCTCGATGGTGCCATCCATGGATTCAGGGAAGGTCAGTTCAGCTCATCCAACCTCTAGTCCAACTCTGGATGCTCCTTTTGCCAGGTGTTAAACATCTGCTTGAAAGAGGACTCACTGTCCCCAAAAGAAACCTAGTCTATTGTTAGGCAGCTCTAACTGTTGGATAATGCTTCCTTCTACTGAGACAAAATCAGCCTCCTTCTATGTGGGGGCCAGGCCAGGCCCCAGCCTATTGAGTTTCACCTTGAGAAGTTATTTGCTTTTGAAGTATAAGCTGACTTAGTTTTCAAACAACCACCCTTTGCCTTCCAGTTTTAAGGATATATTTCTAGGTTAGGATTTAATTTCTTAACAGGCTATTTTTTAAAGTGTCTTTTCACTTGGTGTCTAATGCTGCCTCGATCACCATTTAGCCAAGCTCAGCCTCACAAAACTCACCAGTTCAGCCCATCCCATTGGATTCTTTTTCTTTTTTTTCCCACATTGGATTTTGATTTTTTCCCCCCCAAAGCCAGTGTTTCCAAAAATGGTTAACTTAGACATATACTAATACTGTTTAATTATAAAATGTATTTATTTTATATATATTTTTTGGCAGATGATATGCTGTGCTCTAAAGTCCCTACCCCAATTTTATCAGTAAGCAATTTTAGTGTGCGGCTCTAAAAGAAATCTTGAAAAAAGACCAAATACATTATCACATTCAACAAAATTGACAATAATTCTTATTCAAATTTCCATGATTGTCTCATAAACTTGTTTTTTCAAATCAGAATCCAAAACCCAAGGGTTTTAGGAGCTCTATGCCAGGAACTAGGAAGAGACCAATATATACATTTTCTATTATATCAGCCTCATAAACGTTTAGTTGTTTTTTTCCAAATCAGAATCCAAAGTAGAGTCACATTTATTTGGCTGATGTCGCTCAAGCCTTTTTTAATCTACAGGTTCTCCTCTCTTTTTCCTTGCAATTTTTTTTATTGAAGAAATTGGGTTATTCATCTTATGGTTTCAGTCTGGAGTTTGCCGTTCACATTCCCGTGGGATCGTTTAACATGTTCCTCTGTGCAAAAGTTCTTTTAAATATATACATATATTTAAATAAAATATTGACTAAATAGTAGTATAGGCAGTATGTGGTTTTGGCAAAATTGTAAAGGGGTGGGTATGAATTCGGAAAACATTGTTCTAAACTGTCCGGTGTGTGCCAAAGTTTGAACCTTCACATCCACCATGAACGCTTTCTCTTCAGTCAAACCCTCAAGTCCTGTGTGGAAGCCTTTATGGATCAGTAAGTTAAGGAGCCTCCCACACCACAAACCTCTGAGCATAGAGATTTTGGTATCCTCTGGCTGATTCCTTCAGGAGGTGGGGTTGCCAGGCCTCCTCCAGACCCAGTCAGAATGCCTACCTTTGTCCACTTTCATGTTCATTAACAGCTCAACAGGAGATGGCCTTGGAAATAGACTGAAATGTAAGCTTGACCACTACTTACTTTGTCTCTTAGCAGTGCTAATAAACGGATGAGTGCAATAAATTTCTAAAACACATTTTTAAATATCAGTTTTATTTTTTTTTCTTCATTGATACAGAAGATAGCTCACTGTAACATTAAGTCTTGGGAAAAAAAAATAAAAAATAAAATAAAATCAGAAAGCAAAACCAGCCCAAAACAAACAAAACATGTAACCATGACAAAATGTTATGAACAATCTAGGCTTAGAAATTTAAGAAGCTTGGAAGAGGAATAAAATATTCTACTTTTGGATTATCTGGTAGAAAAAACTTCTGTTGTAAGCCGATAGTTGTAGTACTTAAGGGTATAGGGAGACACAAATGGGAGCCTAGCTCATTGGGAGAGAGGGTGTTACTGAAAAAGGGAGCACTCACGTACACTTGGCAAGACAGAGTTTGGTTTTTTTCTGAATGTACGATGGCTCATGACACACGCTTACCATTATCACCTCCACTCATAAAGGTGGAGGCAGTGCTATAGTCTCATCTACTGTGTAGAACTAGTACATTGTGGACATTACTGACAGTGAGTAGAGTAACAAAGGAGCTCCTCGTTGATGGGGTCTCCCACTGAGCCCTGACTGCACCCATGCCCAAAAAAGCTTCCAGAAAGTTCTCGAAAGTGCTTAAAAGGCACTCACTACTTCCCTCCTCTGTAAAGGAACTAAGCTTTTTCAGAATACAAGGCGACGGGTAAAGCACAGACTTATGCTTTTATCCTGCTCTTTTATGGCATTCTTTCTAGAAGACTTAGTAATCTGTCTTTCCTAAGTATCTTAGAGAAACGAGCAAACTGTATCTATGGACCTATTAAAAATTAAAATGTCTACTTGGACATTTTTTCGGCATGAGGGCTGAAGGGTTATTAAATAAATACTTAAATGCTTGACTCCAGAGATTTTAAGAGAAAAGAGTTTAATGAAAAAAATAAGTATACTATATTCATGATCCGAGTATAAACAATAACAAGGACAAGAAATTACCAAGAGAAACCACAGGAACCAGATACTCTTGCAGGGGGGAAAAAATCTGAATGTATGTGGAATATTAAGAATAAGGAATTAACTTAATCAAACATGGTTAATTTCAAATTTTTCATTTTAAGACACATGGGCCCAATTTATAATTGTGTAGTTTCACAAAAGCAATATATTGTTCAGTTTGCAGCCTGTGTAACTTTGGCTTTTGGGCATCTGAGGAAAAAAAGAAAGAAACTACTTTCTTCCTATTGTTATTTCATCCTCTGCGAGCCTTCCCCTCTAATACACCTAACAACATCTGTCATTATAATCTATGCCACAGATATGATTAATTCCACCCATAGCTAATGAATGTTTTCTGGTTCTATTTCTTAAGGTAAATGTCCCCCAAACACCATGAAACGAAAGCTATATAAAATACAGATGGACAGACAAAAAAGAGGCAAACTGTGAAAATAGTAAAGAGTTTGTGCAGAACTAGAAACCGGACAGAAATCCACCTTGGTCAGAGGTATGGGGTTAATTTCTCTTCTGAGGCTCAGGTTTCACTGATGGGTCTTTAATGGTTCACCTAAGTTCAAGTGGAGGAGAGTCCTTCTTCTTTGTTAACCGAACATGCCCAGATAGAGCTGCTTCTCTTTCTGATGGTAGCTACTGAGTTCAGACTGTGTTAGCTGGAGATACTTCCGGACGTTAGCATCTTAGAGGAGGATGAAGAAGGCGATTAGAGGCAGACCATAATCGCACCTCGGGGTGGGAGAACACTGTTGACGTACTTCCATTTTTTTAAGTCATTCTAAGATCTGAATATAGCACAACTATTCTATGCCGGTAGATCTCATTTATATCACTTTGGATTGTTTTTAAATCTCTGTATAGGGCTGGGCTGGTTGCTAATTTTATAATGAAAGAGAGTTTGAAGAAATAGTTATTGCCATCGCAGAGACGCTAAAGATACCACACGTGGCTAGGGGGCAGTGAATCTATGTAGTCAAGGTAAGAAACGTGAACAAGTAGCTCATGTTTTATATCTTGATTAATTCATAGTAGCTTTCTCATTCAGTTAGTGAGATTTTACTATATTGTTATAACGTTCTGGGGCCTCTACTTCTAGCATCTAGCAGTTGCTCTAAGCCAGAATGCAAAAAGGGAGACAATTTTCACTACTGAACCATGAATCCAGGAATGAGTCGGCCATCCTAGACCACCTGCTTCACAATATCCTTTCTGCCTTGGAAACAAACTACCAAGTCTCAGATTCTCCCTCAGTTGGCCTTTTTCTAGGTCATACCTGGGGTTAGCTGAGCTAAAGGATAAATCGATAAAGCAAAACCCAGACCCCAGCTGGAGAGCTGGCAGGAATGAGGATTACTGAGTATATTCATTGGAATCCAGATCCTATTTCCGTCACATCTAGAAACTGAAACTTGAAAAACAGTGCTTTAAAATCTCTGACTGTGGGGAGGAAGGGAGAGCAAATATTTAAACATAACGACTTCTGGAGGATACACAACATTGCTTTCCTGTGGACACAAGAATACAAGAACAGAAGGCCTGTTCGTTGTGTACTTTTATGCTTTTTGAATTTTGAACTACCTGAATGTATTATCACCGATTCAAAAAACTCAATCAATTTAAAAAGTAAAATAAAACAAACCCCCTTCCACAGCCACCCCCACCTTTTGGCTGCCGGCTGACAGCAGCCAGGAGGTAGTGCCGAGCTTGGTCATAGTCCTGTAGATGGAAGAAGGCCACTCCAGCCCGATACAAGGCCTTGGCATTGTCAGGCTGTCGTTCCAGGACTTTCTGACTGTATTCTTTCACCCGTTCGTAGTTTACTGGCTCCATCTGTAGGAGACAGGCTAATGGGGCCAAATGAAAGCAAGAGAGGAGAGAAGAGGGTTTCATTACACTAAATTCTGCTGGTCACCTCAAGGCAGTACCAAGTAAAGGTACTTGATCAACACTCACTCATCACAAATATTAAGTGTCTCTCCTGTCCTAGACATTCTTCTAGGCACTGGGGACACAGCAGTGAATAAAGCTTTACATACCTTCAATCTACTTCAGTAACTACCAAATGTAGGCAGGTACTATGTACCTAGTGCTGGGTTAGGTCCAGCTATAAAACTGATAAAAACATACTTTAAATTTAAACCTCTTCTTCATTGTGTCTCTTCTACGCAAGGCTCTCTGTCTTGAATCTCCCATTTCCCCATCATTCTCGTACTGCAGCTTTGTTGACAACCGTGGTTGCCATTGTGTGAGGTAACAGCAAGCACTGTGCTGTATGCTCGTTTAATCTTCTCATCCGCCCTATAAAATCTCATCCATTTAATGGATGAAGAAATCGAGACTCGGAGAGGTAAAGTAACTCGTTCAAGATCCCACAGCTTCTAGGTGGAATGAGTAAGAAATGTGAATCAAGGATTCTCTAACTCCAAAATCATCCTCATTCTCAATGATAATATATTATTTCACTATTCCCTTGGATGATTTAGTGGCACCTCAAAATACAAATCTGTTTAGGAGGCAATGTTCAGGCTAATGTTCTGCCTTTTTTATAACTGAGAAATGTATCCCTGTTTCATAACTGTGAGAATTAAACATAGTAGTATTACATCACGGTGCTGAGAAGAACCGAGAGTCAGAGCTGATGAAGACATTAAAATGCCTAGGCTGATGTTTGCATCCCTTCTACAACATCCCCACCAAGTGGTCATATGGTTTATATTTAGATATTTCTCCAGATTGGTGGTCAATTACTCCATCGATGTAGCTTCAGTCATTCATTTGACAATTAGTTATGGAGCACTGACCTTGTGCTAGGCAGAACTAGGAGCAGGGAGTAAGAGGCACAAAACAGACATCTTGCTGAGTTAAGAGTTTGCATCCTAGTACCCAAGTAGTAGGAATACACAACAAACAAATAAATGAATTTTTTAAAGTGCTTTGAGAAACACAGAACTGTCCTGGGATAGAGAGTACATGAGGTCAGAGTGCAGCTTGGTTACTCGAGGCTTCTCTAAGAAAGTGAATTTGAGCCAAGATCTGAATGACAAGGGTCATTCAAGGGACAGGGCATTCTAACCTAAGAGATCCTACAGAGCTAAAAACTGGAAATGTACTTTACGAAATCAGTGTATGGAGGAGCCAGCTCAGGTCCAGCCCTGTAGGTAAGGGTCAGAGTTTGGATTTTTTCCTAAGTATAATGAGATGCCACTGGGAGGTTTAGGCTGTGACATGATTTGGCTTCCTTATCTATAAAATGGGGATAATTATAACTACCTTGCAGAGAATTATTGTGAAATGAGAGATACTATAAATAAACTGCTCAACATGTTTTAGGTAGGCAATAAGTGAAAATTGTTAATTCAGTGACTTTTTTTTTTTAAATGTCTACAGCACCTGGTCTTCCAGGTGGTCTCTCATCTAAGTACTAACCAGGCCTGACCCTGCTTAGCTTCTGAGATCAGACGAGTTCCTGCACGTTCAGGGTGGCATGGCCGTACAGTGAGTCTTTATGGAGCCTCTACCAAGCACCCACAAGCAGAGACTTCACAGATGGCTGAGCCATAGACTCTGCCTTCAAGTCTGCCTAAAGAGTCAAAATATTTAGATACCCTTCTCTATAACATCTCGTTTCTTTAATTTGTGGTCAGTTCCCTAATACATAGTCTCTTCTCTAACAGTGTGCAGTATTTTACAGTAAGAATTCTGGATTTAAGAATTGCCCGGGTTCAATTTTAGCTCCAGCACTTAATATCTGTTTGACTGTTTCCTAAAATTTACCTCAAATAATCGTTGTGACACTTAAATGGATTAATATGTGTAAAGGGCTTAAACAGTGTCTGCCCATGGCATTTTGTAAATGTCACCTCAATGAATGCTCCCTGACACACTCTCTTCAAAAGTGAACACTCCCATACCTGTAGCACTCACTATCCCCATTTTCTGCTTACTTTCCCACAGTACTTACCTTCTAATATATTATATATGTTACTTTTTTTGTCATTTGTTTATCTTACTTGAATACATGTTTCATGAGAGCAGGGATCCTCAGCATCTAATAAATAATCGTTCAATTGAAACATCAGCTACTATAATTACTATTATTGTTACTTGATTCTAGCACTGGACACACACTGTAAAAAAGCTAGATTTTTACTAAAGCATAGCCGATGAGTATTGTAGTAAAAAAAAAAAAAAATCACTTTTAAACATTACAAAGTGTAAAAACCACTCCTAATATGTTCTATGGCTTCAATATGGACCATTAAAATGTTTTAATATACTTCAAAATTAATTAGCTCTATGGTTATTTTTTCTGCCATAGAACAGACCTAAGAATCTCCTTTCTTTTAGCAGATTAATCCTAGTGGTACTAATTCTTGACAACCATCTCTTCACCAAAGGCCATCTGGGGATAGAAGATACTACCTAAGTTACTATATAGCTGATTTATAGGAAGGAGGAAAATAAGTAAAAGCTATCAGAAGCATCTAATATGAATGGCTTAACAGCTGAAGCACGTGCCCTATTCAGGTATTTTAACTACTTTAAAAAAAACAATACCCTCAATTTAAATTCAGTATTTTCTCTATAGCATATAAAATTCCCTAAACCTATCAGCATCACCAGAGAGTCTATTAGAAAATGCAAATAGTAGGCCCCATCTTCGATCCACTGAATCAGAATCACTGGGGGTGGGGCTCAGGAGTTGTGTTTAACTCTCCAGATGAAGCTTGAGAACTACTGCCCTACAGAAACTCAATTAGAGCCCTATAAATTGGAAATATATTTCAAGTCATGACAGACTAACTAGATGACAGCAGAAAAACACATCAGTGTTTTTTTCCCATGTTCACAGATTTTCATGTGCCTGCCTGGATACCCTACCCACCCTTCAGCCCTGTTCTTACCCGCTAAATTGTTGTAGCAGTCTGTCTGGATGGTGTGCAGTGTGTTTTCTTGTTCAGGTGTGAGAGCCGGACCCTGAGGTCCTAGATTAGGTATCGGGGAGGGAACACTTGGATCCAGACCCCGCAGCTGAAGTAGAGCTCGATGGTACCTACTCACAGCATCTCGGTACTTCCCTTCCCGGTAACGCTGGTTCCCTTTCTCCTTGTACAGCTGAGCCTCCTGCAGGCGCTTCTCCATAACTCTGTCGCCCATTACTCTTGTGGAACTGGGAAGTGAAAGAGCAACTGAAGCTCTGGAGATGGGAGTTAAATTACTGATTTTGATAGCCGACTTAAGAAGGCAGGAAATTACCCTTCTCCAGGAGGCCCTCCGGGGAATGAGCTTTGCTTGTTTCTACAACAGCCTCTTCCTCTCCACTCTGCAGTATTTTTCGATCTCTAGACGTGCAGGGAAGTAATCAGGGAGAGGATGAGACTAGTAAAGCCAGAGAAGTGATTTTTCTAAAGAGGCGATTCCAGGGTAAGGAGACCCCTAAAAAGCAAAGGCCGCACTAAGGAATTGTAGCAGGCGTGCGAATGCCGGCGGAATTTGCTTTCCCCTTTCTTTTGGACACACCCCCCTGACCTGGAAGTGGAAGGAAGTAGGCGGGGACACTGCTCAGAAAAGTCCCAAAGGATTGCTTCCATCCTAGCTCTTTATTCGCACGTATTCAACAAGCATTTGTGGACGTCTGTGCCAAAAGCCGGGGAACCGAGGTGAATGTGACCTGTGCACCACAACCCACAGGCCGAGACTGACCGGCCGCAGAGCTGCTCAGTTGCAAGTCCTTCAAAGCCCTAGAGTCAGTCCCTTGCCCTCTGCAGATGCCCAAGCCCGGAAGTCTCCCACTGGGCTTCGGTTTACGGGTGGGAGCATCCAGATGACAGGTTCAGGTCTCCAGACCGTTTGTTGTTTAAAGGGTCGCGCGCCTTGCGCCGCGCCGCCCAATCAGAAGCAGCCCCAGAAAAGTAATCCCGCAGAAACGGCCCCGTCTCTCCAGCATCCCCTGCGAACCAACCCGGAAAAAAATAAAATGAAATCCCCTTGCAGTTTCGCCAATTGGAAAAATCCGGAGAATCACAGACGACCAATCAGAATTGCAAATGACGATTCAAGTTGGCCAATAAAGGAGCTAAAAGGCGAGATTGGCGCGTCTGCTGCTGGGTAGAAGTTGAGGGATAGGCGGAGGAAGGAGGGCTCAGGGGTTGCTGTGTTCCTTGGTTTTAGAGAGCCCTTTAAGGGTTTACTAACTAGAAAGGCAATTACTAGTAGGCTTTCATGTTGCAACAGCTTCCCCTTTGGCTTTTTTTTTGTTTTTACTCTCGAGAAATTGCTGCGCGTATAGACAGTAGGAAAGAAAAATTAGTGAGCAAGCCCCAAGACGACACCGCGATCGGAAGTCCGACGGGAGTGAGGGTGGTGACGGGGTGGAAGGGGCGTGTGGGAAGGGAGCTCCGGGCGGCTGCGCAGTCCCCGGGTGGAAGTACGAAAAGACGGCGCGCACACGCCTCCGTGCTACGAGGCACTTGAGCCGCAGCCAGCTTTCCTCGCCTCCGGCTCCGGTGCGCCTGCGCGGTGAAATCACCGGTGGCGATTGGCCCAGGGCGTGAGAGGGGGGCGGGAGGTCCGGGGAGGGAAGTCCGTCGTCCTCGGCGCGCGCCCGTCCGCGGCAGGGGAACCGAGGGAGCAGGAAGGGAAACTACCCCGCTGCGTCGTTTTGGGCTCCCGGGGCTGAAAGGGGGAGGGGAGCAGGAGAGAACCAAACACGACGTAGCGGAGGCTGCGCGCGGCCCTCGCCGCCCGAGTGCGTCCGTGCGTGCGCTCGCTCGCG